GCGAAATGAAGTTGTGAGACAAATTGTCAGAATAAATATGGTCAACATGGGGTAAGAGAGAGAGAGAGAATATTGTGATTACAAATCGGAAATTGCGTAATATGTAAAATAATTAGGTCAAATATAGTAGATTCAGGGGTGGATATTGAATAAGTTCCTCAAAAAGGGGTTATCAAGTGTAAAGGCAATAATAGTAATAATAATAATAAGTTTGGGACATAAAATGAACATTAATCAGATTACGTCACCACATTATAAGATTGATTATTAGCTAGTTGGCCAGGGTAAAAGGAGTGGCTGAACATACTTCTTTTGGATACAAAGCTCTGGCTTTTTGATCCGAATAGCAATTGCTTCAGCCGTCTGTAGGATTCGCAGTCTGACGAAATTAGGTAGACTGCTGTTGACACGATAGACTATTGCAAAAGATTGCTCCATGTTTGGACTAAATGGTCTAAGATGGAGCTGTTAACAGTTTTGACAACACCTTTGCTTAACCACACGAGTAGGTGCTCACGAGCCCGAATGTACAAATTCCTAGAACATCTGCCAATATAACTTGCTCCACAGGAGCAGTTGAATTGATAGATACAGAAGGAGGTGGCTAGTCTAGGTAATTTATCTTTCAACCTCGGAGTGATTATTGTTCGTGTGGAGAATACTAGTTGTAGTTTAGCTGCGTTAAAAGTCCTTTGAATTGATCTATTTAACTTAAGTTTTAACATTTCACTCGGCGCGTCGCCTCTGAATTGTAAGCGTATATATAGAGGCTTTTTATTTACCGTTGGGCATTCTCTACGCTGTCTTTTATTGGCTAAGTTTTTATTTATAAATTTCTCTGGATATCCGTTTTCTTTCAGGGTTTTAAACAATGTCTTTGTTTCATCTTCACTCGTATCCATAGTGCATATAGTCTTGATTCTATGATGTAGTGTCTTGATAAGGTTCCTTTTTTGTTGTAGAGGAATGAAACTGAAAAAGTTAGTATATTGACCCGTCCAGGTTATTTTCCTGTTAATGTTTCTTTTTAGTGATCCATCTTTTCTCCTTGTAAGCAGAACATCTAGGAAGGCTATTTTACCCCCATTTTCTTTCTCACATGTGAATTTTATGGACGGGTGAGCTGTATTGAATTGCTCGAGTGTTTTTATCATGTCCGTATGCTCGTTACAAAGGATAAATGTATCATCCATATATCGACAGTAGAACAGAAACTTATCGATCTCTTGTGCCAGTGGGCCGTTTTCTAGTTTAGAAAGGAAAATGTCTGCCAATGTGGGACCCAGGGGTGAACCCATCGCGACGCCATCTATTTGTCTGTAGATTTCACCATTGAATTTGAAATGTACATTCATAGTGCATTTTAGTAATAATTCTTTGATGATCTCCACAGGGATTGTCGTTTCTAGTTCCTGTTCTCTAAGTTGTTCACAAATATATTCTACAGTTTCTCTGAGTGGGACATTTGTGAACAGTGATGCTACGTCAAAGGAAATCATCGTCTGATCTTTCGTGTTTATGTTTTTAATCCTGTCAACGAATTGGAATACATCCTTAATACTATGTTTCACCAGGCGATTATGGAGTGGTTTCATACTTTACAAAGTGGCTAGTAAGTGTTTTGAAACCACCATTCGCTTTTCGTCCTCTCATTTTCGTAAACAACACCACCGCCACGAGAAGGCAGTGAGTAGGACTTCCCTGGTAGGGGCTATATTCGCGTGGCCATGTGAGAGCATTTTGAGAGGGAGAGTGGACTCTCCCCACTCTCGACTGTACCAGGGCATTTATATCAACTATACACAACTTAAATAAAGTATCATTTTTCTGAAAAAAAAAACTTGAAATTCATGTACGACATCTAATGACAAACATTAAATGTACTGTGTACAAATCACTTGTATACGAAATATTAAGTTACTTCGATACTTTATATTATTTGATTAGTGGAATTAACTTCGCTAGATAAAAAGTTGGTTCATTATCTAAATAACTCTTTGATTACATCTCCAACGCAGCACTGTGTGACAAGACTAAAAGTCTTCTTAATCATTAAGATTTTTTTACAAAATCTTTAATTTTAACCATTAGTTTTGGATATTTAACTAGTTCGTTAGCAGTTGACTAGTTATCGAAAAGTGATTCTATATAATTCTACCAACATTAAAGACTCTACAACATCATACCAGTTTCTTTTTAATAATGACCTATAAACACATGATAAGCTTTTAATTAATCCGTATAAATGCAGATAGTTTTCTTTTCTGATAACTAGACCTATACTCTGTATCTCAGGTATGGTAGTTGATGAACTCTGGTGATTATTTCCGAACTAGAACGAAACGGATTTCAAGTTCTTTCTGATTCTCTAAATGATATAAATCTGTGATCAAACCAAATTAATCTACATAAACTGGTTAACTAAAACAATTGCTGAATGTCTTGGTAACAACAATTTAGCTTATTTTATTAACATATGGGGATTTTGTAGATTGTTGACTTTTTTTTTGTCTTTGTTGCTAATTTTGTTTGCATAAGTAACTTGTTGAAATACCCTGTGCTGAGAATTCTATATTGTACCAAAATATAATATTGAATAAAGCCATTAATAATAATAATAATAATAATTCACATGACTACGACTGGAAATCTGGAAGCACTAAATAGTTGTTCAGTACTAGTATGACTCCTCAGCAGTTCGGATTTAAAACTCCAGTGGGGATCGAACCTAGGATGGTCTCTACAAACTCATCTGTACATGTGTCCAATAGTAGCTAAAGTCTAAGGATAATTTACCTAGATTATACGGACTGCCAAACATACATAAACCGGATATCCCATTAAGGCCAATTTTGGACATGTACGATTACCCATATCATACTGTAGCAAAGTGGCTAGTACCTGATTTGAAACCACTCCATAATCGCCTGGTGAAACATAGTATTAAGGATGTATTCCAATTCGTTGACAGGATTAAAAACATAAACACGAAAGATCAGACGATGATTTCCTTTGACGTAGCATCACTGTTCACAAATGTCCCACTCAGAGAAACTGTAGAATATATTTGTGAACAACTTAGAGAACAGGAACTAGAAACGACAATCCCTGTGGAGATCATCAAAGAATTATTACTAAAATGCACTATGAATGTACATTTCAAATTCAATGGTGAAATCTACAGACAAATAGATGGCGTCGCGATGGGTTCACCCCTGGGTCCCACATTGGCAGACATTTTCCTTTCTAAACTAGAAAACGGCCCACTGGCACAAGAGATCGATAAGTTTCTGTTCTACTGTCGATATATGGATGATACATTTATCCTTTGTAACGAGCATACGGACATGATAAAAACACTCGAGCAATTCAATACAGCTCACCCGTCCATAAAATTCACATGTGAGAAAGAAAATGGGGGTAAAATAGCCTTCCTAGATGTTCTGCTTACAAGGAGAAAAGATGGATCACTAAAAAGAAACATTAACAGGAAAATAACCTGGACGGGTCAATATACTAACTTTTTCAGTTTCATTCCTCTACAACAAAAAAGGAACCTTATCAAGACACTACATCATAGAATCAAGACTATATGCACTATGGATACGAGTGAAGATGAAACAAAGACATTGTTTAAAACCCTGAAAGAAAACGGATATCCAGAGAAATTTATCAATAAAAACTTAGCCAATAAAAGACAGCGTAGAGAATGCCCAACGGTAAATAAAAAGCCTCTATATATACGCTTACAATTCAGAGGCGACGCGCCGAGTGAAATGTTAAAACTTAAGTTAAATAGATCAATTCAAAGGACTTTTAACGCAGCTAAACTACAACTAGTATTCTCCACACGACCAATAATCACTCCGAGGTTGAAAGATAAATTACCTAGACTAGCCACCTCCTTCTGTATCTATCAATTCAACTGCTCCTGTGGAGCAAGTTATATTGGCAGATGTTCTAGGAATTTGTACATTCGGGCTCGTGAGCACCTACTCGTGTGGTTAAGCAAAGGTGTTGTCAAAACTGTTAACAGCTCCATCTTAGACCATTTAGTCCAAACATGGAGCAATCTTTTGCAATAGTCTATCGTGTCAACAGCAGTCTACCTAATTTCGTCAGACTGCGAATCCTACAGACGGCTGAAGCAATTGCTATTCGGATCAAAAAGCCAGAGCTTTGTATCCAAAAGAAGTATGTTCAGCCACTCCTTTTACCCTGGCCAACTAGCTAATAATCAATCTTATAATGTGGTGACGTAATCTGATTAATGTTCATTTTATGTCCCAAACTTATTATTATTATTACTATTATTGCCTTTACACTTGATAACCCCTTTTTGAGGAACTTATTCAATATCCACCCCTGAATCTACTATATTTGACCTAATTATTTTACATATTACGCAATTTCCGATTTGTAATCACAATATTCTCTCTCTCTCTCTTACCCCATGTTGACCATATTTATTCTGACAATTTGTCTCACAACTTCATTTCGCTTATAAACTGATTCAAGTTAACACTTCATATTAGTCAGCCCCAACATTAACGATTTTATTTAATATAACAAATAATTCCTGATTCATATATTACAATTTCCAAATGATGTATTTTGCCTTAAATCTGGCCAATTTTATGGATTATTAATTTGGATATGAGATAATTGTAGAACCTGATGAGAAATTATTGAAAAGAATATTCTTCGTTCATACAATTGTGTTTTTAATATAATGGGAATTTTTCAGCAACTTACATTTTCTTGAACCGTATCTTCGATTCTCAATATTTCCTACGATTCTGGGATTTGGCCTTACAATTTGATCTCTATCCTAACGGGGTATGACAGCTTGAACGGATAAAAATACGTACGAGGTTATACGTCGTTACTGACTATCTGATTTACTGAAACTACAGACGAAACTCAGTCTGTTTGAGATAGTTAAACAGGACCAGTTGTGCCAAATTATACCTATTACCTGAAAAAATTAAGGAGGAAATTTAGTTTAAAATCTTTAACGTTGCAACGAATTGAAAACCAGATATACAAACTGTAGAACTATTAGATACTGAACAAAAGACTTTAGAATAAATTAGTTTCTGTCTATACAATAAGAACTGCATTTACACAACCTTCGTTTTCAGGATTATTAGTTACTTGAGCATATTTACCCCAGACAACTTTACCACTCGGCGTGACCAAACCAAGATCGCTGACGTTCACCTACATAAGTAAAAAAGGAAAAAATGACGTCATTCGCTGCTGAACGCAGATATCAACAATTATCAACCTAATCAGTGAAAAAATAATTATGTAAGTAATTCTTACCGACTACAATTTACTACTGAAAAACATTTATTCTTAAATATTTTACAAAACATTACTTTTTGTATGTGCGTCGTCAGAATTTTCAGAAAATATTGCGTTAATTTATCACTTAGACCTAATAAACATCGTTTACTTGCTATATTATAGCAAACTTTTTTATGAATTGATTACACAGTAACATTTCCACCGACTTTAAAAATCTAATTTTTATCTCAAAGCCTTTGACTAAAGTGCGTTCGGATTTTTCGTTTATCATAACCTCCACGTGACTTTATTATAAAAACCAACCGTAATCTGCCATTTAAAAGATAGTTTTCATCACGAACTTTCATTAGTTGGAGAACTAATAACCATTGAAAAACTGTTCCATTTCAGTGAGAACTCTGAATGAGCATTATGATGCCATAGGACATCTGTAGTGGACGGTACTCACCAGATTGCTTGTAAGTAGTGTTGCAGAACGTGATCTTGAAGTTGTCACAGTCAGACGGAGTGAATAATTCTAGTGCATCGGAAGCACAGAGTAGGTACAACATTTGATGACCAGACGACAAGATAGTTTGTATGGCAGAACTCACCGCGAAATGAAAATGGATGATAGAAGGCTGTGCATACGTAAACCCTTTATAATTTCTCTTAATAAATAATTATTCTGTTTATTGTCGTGTTCTACATATCCAACCAAAAAATCGTAGCAACTATGATGTCATTTAGCCAATGAGTTAGGATTCAATGATTTTCATTTTTCAAATTCAGTCAATTTATGACACGGTGCGATTATCGTTTAGCGTGATAGTTCATCAGAATTGCCACTAACTACGTTAAGCTGTTTGATTACAAACTCCCATTAAAACTTCAAGATGTCACTACGGACAAATAAAAATGACCTTTAAAAGAGCGCCTATAGTAGAGCATGTACGATATGGGTTTAGTTACATTGGGGACCACATGAGGTTAGCTGGTAAGTCACGACAAACGGAATAGTTTAGGATAAGTTTTTTAGTGATAACGTTAATTTAAAGGTGGTAACCATCACATATATGTACTATTAGGAATCAAGGGGGACTGGAAAAATGTTTCGTGCTACTGTTGAACTGCACCTAAAACCAGTCTAAGGGATCAAATTCAAGACCTTTAGGTTACTGAGTAAGTGTTTAGCCACTAAATCTCTGGAAGGATTATTGATTCACAATACTGCAGTCCTATATTAAGGTATAAAAATGAAGTCAATCTGTGACGAATATCATATTTACAAAGGACATATTTTCATGATTCGATCATCTCCAGATAATGCACTGAGTTTTTTTATAGAATAGTGTGGTATATTGAACCAATATATCATGAACAACTTGTTTGTACATTGGTTTAGTAGGATATCTGTGTCAGATGGATGAAACTAGACAATACAATAAAGAATTCCCATTATATCTGAAATTGTGAACAAACTAGACAATTATGGATGCATAACCATAATGGTAAAACAAGTGATTTCCTTCAAAATGATAATTTATCACTCCGTATGTTAGTTTATGAAGGTATTTTTCTAGCTGACTAACCACTGAAAACTCAACACACTGATTGAACAGTCCTATATTACAATCATTATTTGAATAATAAGCGTGACCCATAGAATAACTAGCTCTTTTATTGGTGAAGTTACGAAAAAACATAGTGCGAACATGATCGAATATGAAGTTATGAATTTATGCTAAGCTTTCACTATCACTTAAAACCTGTCTTAGACTTTTTAATTTGTTGTTGGCTAAATCTCAATGCCGTTAGTTAATTGAGGACAGTGAGGATTTCTGTGGTGCAAATTAGGAACTAACACAAACAAAAATTTGATCTTTAGATGTCTACCTGGTTTCGAGAACTAAAATATTATTTTAAACGTCGAATCTCCCAGTGCGAAAATCGATAATTAAACAACTCAGTGGTCACATGCATGATAAAGTTTAAAAGATACACAGAAGTTAATCGCTTCGCTCCAATGAAATAACTATAGTAGGTAGTAATGCTTGTTTAATAAAATATCGCTTTCATAGTGTTTTAAGTTTTATTTAAAATGTGTTTTGGTGTAAACGCAATTAACTAGTGAGAAACAGAATGATCGAAGTGTAAACCACAGACTTCATCACTAGTAAGAAGTACACTCAGAAATGAATTATAACAACCAACCATTGAAAAAATACCAAATGAAAGAACATACCTCAATAATTGTACCTTTAGTTATTACACCTAAAGTAGTATACATTGGTGAACTTGGATTTTTCTTCACTCCAATTATAGGAAGCTGGAAAGTAGTTTTAAGTTCTGGATGAGTAACGTTTGCTTTCTTTACACGTAAACCCATTGGACGAATAAAACGTTCAAATTTAGGAGGTTTTCTTGTGAATGTATCGCCAACAAAGCACATTTTAGTGACCAAACGCTTCCATGCTTTACGTTTAGACTTTCCAGTTCGTACAACTTTAAATGCCTCTGCTTCAGATACGCTTCTTACTTTTGGTAATGGCACCTCCCATTTTCCCTGATTATAAGAGAAATTTAAGCACAGAAAGTATGTATCCAGATAGATGTAACTATCACAGATCAAAGTGTTGAGTGATACAAAAACAAGACAAATATTTTTTCCAGCACAACCACTGAAACAGGCCATATTTTGAGCGTGACTACGGAAAGTGGACATAAATATACTAATCAGTGACATGAAAACAAAAAAATTAATCTTCTGAGCTTATACCTTTTTACTGCCTATAATTATTATCGGAATTAGGATTGTTCGAATAAGTACTTGAATTCAGCCAGAAATTACATAAATTTTATATTTAAGGTGAACTGAAGGATCTAGGAAGCATAAACACATGTATTAAAATGTTCAACAGAAGATACACCAGCTGGACGAAACAGTTGATTTTTATGTAGCCAGGAATAAACGATGTCATGCAGAAGGAGTCCGATTATTTCTGACGAAGAGCGTTTAGAGATACAAAATGGATGAATGAAGTGATACAGTGAGGTCGAGTGATAACTATTCATGAGAAACTCCCGAATGGACTATTACCGAAGACAAGACCACTAGCCAGAAGTCTTTTTAGCTATTAAGTTAGCATGCTTATATAAAAAACTAACATAAAATGAAAGTAATCGGACGTCCTACATGACTGGGAGATTTCGGTTTTGTAGGTCACATACTCCCCAGTGAAAAAGATTGGATTCTGAGACCTAATTCTTATATATTATTACTTACGCCTGTTACTCCTAATGGAGCATAAGCCGCCAACCACGCTTATATATTATATCAGACATTATTTCTACTTGATATCAATGAGACAGGTCAATCCGTTCTATATATCAGAAAAGTCAAAAAACAACGTGCAGAGACTCAGTTCATCAACCGTGAAAATGAAATCATGTAAGAGGGTAAATTGATATACAAAGTGTATTTGGCAGAAACTAAGCTCTGTCTGATAAATGAAATAACAGCATGGCGTTCTAATTACTAAGAACATGAAATTACTGCAGCCTATACTCACTAAGACAATTTAGACTGAATGTGAGAGACTTTCTATTACACAGTAAATACCTTCATATATCTTACAATGTTGTACTTAGTGGTAAGTTAAGCAAAGCGAAACTAAATCAGGAAAAAAATGACTATTTGATGAATTATTTATTCCATCCACTGTTAAAGGACTAACAAAAAGATCACCAACATATGCGATGACAAACTGAATAAAGGTCTGATTTTGATAGATCGAATAAAATGTCTATCGAAATATCCTTAGATACTATTTACAGAGAAAGTTAAGCACAGCTATAAATGAGTACAACTTAGCTGAAACACTAAAAGCTATATTATATGGAAATCTTCAAAGTCCCAAAGATTGTATATTAGCTAGGACAAAAAGGCACCTCTGGTTATTGGAGTAAAAAGCTGTGTAAAATTAGTAGTAGCACTAACCAGTAGTGCACTTTGTGAGTGACGATTAATAACGTTCTGGCCTTGGGTGTGCGGTTGATATTGTCTTACTGTGCGATTATATCCATGACATGCAATCTGCATTTAATCAGTTGACAAACTGTCTATAGGTATGCCATGTGCTTGGCACCCTTCAAGTTTAAAGTACTTCTACAAGACTGGTAGGACCCTGAACGCGCACTCATCCTGGGTAGTGAACAGATGGAAGCAGTAGAGAAGTTCCAGTATCTAGGTAGCTACCTAAGTGCTGGTGATGACGTGAGATCAGGTCAACTCACGTATAGTGGAAGCCAGAGCGGTTTATGCCAATCTGAGACATTTTGACGCCTTTGTGATGTTAGCCTGACTGTAATAGGTCGGGGTCTACAACGCGTTGGTGAGAGTAGCTTTGCTCTATGTTTGTGACACCTGGCTTCTCAGAGTTAAGGATATTGAACGACTCTGTGTTTGATCATCGCTGTTTCCGAAGGATTGCTGACATGCAGTGGTAACACCATTTTAGTAATGCAGAGGTTCGGCAACGTGCTTCTAAGCAGCAGACAGGTACATCAGAAAAGAGACGGTTTAATAATGAACTTAATACAGGAAACGAAAATGGTGTGGTCTAACATAAACTACTTGATAAGACGATGGGGTATCAGCCATCTCATAAAATATCAAAACTACAGATCAGTCATATGTTTAGTTTTTTATGCCTGAGGAACATTTGTTCTGGACTACGAGCTTCGAAAAAAACTGCATTCAGTAAGTAATAAATTTGTTAAACACAAGATTTTAAGTGAAAAATATATATTCTAACCATTCATTCAACTCAAAAGATGTCAATAATGAAGTAAAAATTTGAGAAATTAAGATATTCCCCTATCATTATTCGTTAAGAGAATCATTTTAATCTAAATATTTGATCATTCCACGGAAGCAGTGAGGTCAAGTAATGTGCCAGGTAGGACAAAATAAGGTTTGAAACATATTTCTAAAGCGCAGCTGTACAAATGAGATAAATAAACAATTAAGTCTAGAAAACTGACGAAATGTGTTGGTCCTTCATGACTCCTTGATTGGGGTCCTAGAGATGGTACAACATAGTGGCTAGAGACGTTACCAGACGTGGCTCAAAATAGAAGCCAGTGTCGATCCTGATGTAAATTTCTTTTATCTTCATCACGAAAGTAAACGCAACTTCTTAAACTGAAAGAATTCTTTCCAGGTTTTTTTTCTTAACTGAACCGTTTCTCCGTGTTATTATTTTACTGAAAAACTGATTTCTGTTCATTGTTCTTTTTTATTATACACACTTTACATCGTCTCTTCACAAACCCGTTGTTATTGAGTGGCGCATATGTATTTGGTGTCCCTTTGCACTAATGTCTATGTTCAAATAAACATAAATTTTAGTAATGAATAACAGACCGGATACAGCGTAATTTAAATATAATAGCATGGTGATAACCAGAAAATAAGTTTGCATCATGAAATCAACAAGACAATCATTACACAGCCGAAAGTATTAGGAATGCTTAATAATTTTTGATGGTAGATATTAAAAATAAATCTACCGTAGATTTCGAACCAGTAGAACAAAAAATTGATGAAACTGAATTATTACGGAATATATCCATTCTGCAATTACTTATCTACAGGCCACACTTTAGCTACGAGAGTAAATGATGCTACCGAAATAAACGGACGGGGCTCGAACCCGGGGCTTAGTGGGTGAAAGTTGAACACCCTAACCACGAAGCCCCCTGGTGAGGTTTGTTGATCGACCAAAGCTTCTGGACTACATCAACACAAAGAGATGAGACTGTGCAGAAATATCATTGACAGTAAATATTCATTCACACAGTTGGTCAGTTACAACGTAGGACCTGATACGTATGTACATCGATTCAAGTAAAGACTAGGTACATACAGTGATTCAATAATTAATTAGTTGAATAAAAGACCGACGACATAAGGGAGAACAAATATTAGGTGCGTCTGTTATTATGATCGATTACAAATCATCCTATTCATCTCCAACCTATACGGTTCAGTCCGTCAGTAATTTCAACTAAACATGATGTGATAATACTATAAGTAACCGAAGTACAAACTATGTGATGTGATAGAACTTACAACAGAGGCTGCCTATTGTTATATTTGAACTAGAAAACTGCAAAAATAATGCAAACCCTTGACATTTGTCATAAACTATATGTTTAAATTGATTAAAAATGAGTAGCAAATAATGGAACGGAGTTAATTATTCTTACCGCTTTCTCAGCTTTTTTCTGCTTAACTGTGTTGGATAACACTTTGGCAGAGATCTGTTCACCACGATCTAAAAGATATGCAGGTACTTCTCCAGATCGCCCAGCTTCATCGACTTTTTGGTTTTTTCCTTTTAACTCGTGCATACGTAAACTAGGAAGGTTAAAACTTCGGCTTAAAGTCTCACGTCTTTTTCATTTGAACTTTTTCTTTAAACCTTTCTTTATTGGCAATTTTTGCCTTTAATCCTCGAAGCTTTTTGGCCTTACGACTTCTTTCATGAGGTTCACGAGCCTCTTTTTTCCGCCTGAAACATGATAAACCAGGTAGACAAAGACTGACTTTCTTTCAAAATAGTCAAAGCGATACCCATGACGTTTGCGATGAAGCTCAATATGCTCGTTTTGAGGCTAAACAATAGGTCATATGGTATTATACAAACTCACCATGTGATTACTATTGAGATTAGCGTCAAAGGTCCTACCCACGACCTTCAGGTGATGCTAGTAAACAACAAGGACTCATTTTGTTCCCAGTGTTTATGAATGAAATATAATAAGCTTCTGTCCAGCCAACTTCAGTTTTTAATAATAAGGGTTTGCCGATGTCTCCAGGACGGGGGGGGGACCGTGGTTCATATATACAACAATGACTCAGCCTTGCATTGTTTGGCGGCTGATATGGATTCTAACACTGTAACACGTTCGAAATCCTGTGCTATTGATCTTTCGTTTCGATTATCAGGTTCTCTGGATCTCATAGTTGTATAATTTCTGACTGTTATTAATGGTTTTTGCTACTGAAAGTATTTGCTTTCTCAGTCATCCACCCACTTTTCCTCTTATTCTGTACTCTTCCAGATAATCTCGCTTACTACCCTTAACACTTCCCTAGCATACGATGTATTTCAGTCTGTATGCAAGCCTACCAAAGGTTGAATGTAACAATACATTACCTTCATGCATGGGCGAAATCTAAATCCACGATTTTCGAGTATGTGTATGGTGTTTCTAGGTGTTTTCATGAGGCTTGTTTCGTCAATAAGGATATATTAGGATAGTTAGGACAGATTCATATTGTAACTAGTTTTCGCTTCTATTTGCACTCCTTTCATTAATTCTCATAATTGGTACATTCACTATGAGTGACTGTAAAGTAGTTGTTTAAAAATGGATTACCTTGGATTTTCCAATTTCTTTTTGATACTTCATAGCACGACACACTGATTATCGCTCACAAATACACTGATGCACGCATATGCCTCTTCTCAGTTACCTGCTGTAATGATAAAAGAGCTCCAGTGTATTTGCTATCTACGTTTATAGATCACAGTGATACTTTCACAATATGATTTGTCTGGATATACAACTCGAACTATAAAAATCGTGATTGAAAGTACCAACTACTTATAATTGTGGATCACTAACCCGAAAGCAACTCGAACCCGCCAATTTCTGACAATTTAAGTAGAGTCATGCATATTTTTCTTGTGTGTAAATTATACTTAGTATATTGTTAAATTAGTTTTCGGACGGAATAAATTTATCATTATTTCTGGAACTAGTATATTCTTGGTCCATCTCTGTCTAACATACATTTTTATTAGTCATATGCCTATTGCTTACACTCTATCATAATAACTTTGGCAGTTTCGTGTTTTTAAGCTCAATCTTCGAAGGATTCAAATTTATGCGCATCACTGTCTAGCATGAAGAGTACAACTGCTTTCAAGTATCATGTGAAACAAATGGAAGCGCGAGGATTGTGGTGGTAAATAAATCCCCACGATAAATATCTTTGTAAGTCCTTGACATCACTGTTGACTTTATTAGTTCTACAAGACACATTTTTAGCGGAAGGAACTCGACCATGCATCCTTACAAGATAGAGTTTAGGTTCGCCATGCTACTCAGCTTTTACATCTACTAAACTGCTTATATTGCGTACACTTTCCAGCACCAGCCATTGTTCAAACATACATCATGACGCTCCTCCATCAGTGAACTCTGGTTTAATTGGCTTTGGAATACCTAAATAAAACACTGTACATCCGAGTCTTCTTGAAATCCTTAGGTAATTAGGCATGAAATACTGTTCTGTTCCGTCAAACTTTAATCGTCTTTATAAAAAGTAAAATCACAGATAATACTTACCGATGAAGGTCCTAGTTCTGAGTGCTGAGCGACACAACTAGGACATTCTGTGATTTGAACAAACGAGTAACTTGTTCTGTTGTTGGAAAAGCATTTACTTAAGCAAAATCGATGGTGGCATGATATGCATCTTTTTCAGCCAAATTACAAGAGGCTAGTAAGTAACTGTATCATAAGCTTTGATAAATCAAGATATTACAAACACATTCATTTTCTATCAGGAATGGTGTCTCGTCCCCCCACCAAAATTAATGGTTTGGTTATGCATAAGTATCCATTCGTGGAACCATACTTTCGAAATGGAAGTCTTCTGCATATGATGGTCAGCCAAACCATTCTAAACTGGAGATTTATAACTTTTCTGATACTGAAATATTACTGGCCAGTTGTTTGAGAGTTCATTGTTTCGAGCTTCATTGAAAATTGGTTTGGTGTTTTCCAGCTTCCATTTCTCCTGGATCTAGGCTCTACTTAAGGAGTGAGAGAACGGAATTGGACAGTTGCATAGACTGAATGGTCGTGGATCAGATAGCAGAAGCCTGCATACACTGGTCATTTGTTTTTAATAATAATAATATATTTCTGAATGAGCAGGTACACGCCATATTTACGGGCATGATCTACAAATTACAACACTTGTTGGCTCACAGCAACAGATCAGCAATGTTTGTAGGTAAGAGTTCAGGTGCGTGAAATACGTCTCAGTAAAGCATCTTACAGTAGTGTTGAGTTCTTATAAGAATTGGCATCTCCGTAAGACGGGTTAGCGGGGTGTACCGGAACCTCATCATAAGAAGAGCAGTTTGCGCTCTCATAGAATTTTGGTCTACTTCGTTATCAGTACTGCTCTTATAATAGACCTAATACTAAGATTTTAGATTTGTCATGATGTAACTGCCTAATCTATAAGATCATACCTGGAAATCACATCACTGTTTACACTGACTCATCGTATCGTAACAGTGACAAACATATGATGGAGATAGAACAATATATTTAATATGAATGAAAGGTACAGGCTACAAAAGAATGGTCGCGCCTGCAAGGCCGAGCCACGCCATTCGATGAGTTTCAACTAATTGAGTTAATCCTTTCCGCTGTCTCCATTGTTGGGCTTTTCCCCGCGTTAAATGTTGAACATCTATTTTCCCGATTGTCTCGTGTTCAGCTTTGGGGATTGTGCGGTTTCGGGTCAATGCTCCCACACTTTCACCCACTTCAGTAGAATAGGCTTTGTATTGGTGTCTCACATAAGTATGGCCTAAAAAGTATTAAAAACGGGAGGCTAGTCATGTTAGTCTTGACAAACCCAAACTCAAACGTCTTGGCATAACGATTCAAGCGTTGTCAGTCTATGTACTTACTCTCTTTGTATTAGATACACTATTCTATTGTCTCATTTTGGATGGTTTTGTTCCATCCTCATTAAAGCCCAGAAGAAGAACTCTTTCTCCTTTGCTAAAAGTGTTATGAACACACCAAACAGCATTCAAAGTACAGCCATAAACAGCGCAGATGTTGTCGTAACTGTTTAGATTCAAACGTTCTCATATATGTCTCTAGTTTTCGTAAATCGTTCTTCAGAGTTATCGACATGTGGTTCCAGCGAGACTATAAATTATGGACGGACCAATCAGGTACAAGGTAATACGTCTCGGATTTGGGCGCGAAATTCACTCATCCATTTGGTTAAATAGCGTTTCGGCATTATAGTTTATGTCAGTTCGTGGTGAGAACCCTAAATCAATTTCCTAACTTTAACCATCAACTGTAAATCATAATTCTAATTCCCCAAACCTATATATAAACCTCATTTGGTCGTAGTTATTAGGCGGGCACTCAAGGTCAGTTCAGCTTCGCTCAAAGGTCGTCCATAAAATATGGTCTCACCACAAGTTCTTTGAATACCAACGAAAAGTTACACAATGACGTATTGTATTACCGTGGTCATGCCTGGAAATGGCGCGCAATTTGAAAAACCTCTTTCAAGGAAAGAAATGTTATTGAAAATGCGAACCGATCTAGTTCGGATAACTAATGTAACCACTAGAATATTCACACAGCTGCATGCCGACACAAATGTACTCATCATTGGTCAGGAATTATTTATAACATTATATAGACATCTAGTTGTGATACATTGCATCGCAAGATCGTTTTGACGCAGTATAAAAACATTTCTTCTCAACTAACAATTTGTTGCATGAGACATGCCAGTTTACAGGCAAGATCAAATTGTTACAAATTATACAATATCCACTGTAGTAAATTACTCAGCAGGGTTGATAATTTATAAGATATGAAATGTAAATGGTTGTAGTCAGTATGACAGTTGGCGCGCTTCATGAAAGTGGCGTTGCGACGTGCAACTGATGGTCAAGGACAGATCCATCGAAGGTGGGAGCATCTAGAAATCACAACCATATATCCCTTTGGAATAACTGGGGCTCTATTGATGGTGCAGGATTGAATCACCCGTTCCATATCTCAAGGGGGCTGAAAAAAGGAGCAACTAAAAGAAAGGGCGAGAGGCAGAGCAGCCAATGTTCATGAAAGAAAATTTAAGGTATGGCTACTCAGTCTCATTTTCTTTTACTAGAATATTTACTAAGCAAGAGCATTCTAATAGGTTAAAGAAAATAAGTGTAAACCAGTTATGAGTGAATAAAAAATGACAAATGAAGGTGGTTCAGAAAGGAGCTGAGAGTATAGGATTATGTATAGTTATAAAATAAAGCACTGGAAACAGTATTATGACACACAAATGGCCGTCTCTCTTTTTATTGAAGCTGTTTGAGCCCGTTTTTAGAATTTATAATATCTTGAGTAGGCTTCGTTTTTAGCAAATTGTCTAGATTGATTGTAATGGGATCGCTCGGTAGGAAGTGGAACCAATTCAATAGAAAATTAAAGGAAATGAAAGAGTATAACTTTGTAAACTTTTCAGGGTAAGAAAAATAAAACATTGAGCAACTCACAAGAATTTAGGACATTTTGAGTTTCTTATGATCGGCCTTAGTTGATCAACATCCATAAGTTTAGTGAGTTATCTGTCTACTTGCAATAGAAAGAAAGGACATGACGCTTAGGAATAATAATGTATCTTTAACCATTAGAGAGATTCGGAAATTGAAATTAAGGGTTAAGAGAATAGGGCTGTAGTGTGGTGTCGAGTCGCGGTTGACTATGATCACCACTACAGGAAGACTACGTGCCAGTTAACCGATAAGATCCCCCGTAGGTCAAATATCAGAAGGTAGTTGATGGCTGTTGTCGAGATGTATTTGTTGGCGATCTCGTGGTATCGAAAGAATACCGAGATCGTTCCAGGTTACAAGTGGGGTT